GCGAAAGCTGAAGTGGCCGATGAATTGGCCACATGCCCACTACACCACCAGAAGAGGACGCCGACAGTCACAATCGAGGCCAACATCTATTTGTTTCTCACTTCCCAACCATTGGCATTCCGAGGATCCGTATTTTGTTCAGACAATCGCAAACATAAATTCTCAGAAACCAGTTCATTGGAGCAGTGCTCAGAAGAACGATGGCTGAAGGGGGACCCAACACTTTCATAATCCTGGCAGAATCACGCAAACATGCCACAGCGAAGCAATAGCTAAAGTGCCTCACAGTCGCACATCTTCCCTCAACGCGTTCTTCTTGAGTGGCTTGTTTTTTGTTCGTGTTTTCCACCAATTGCGTTCTCCGTTTGGCTGCTGATTTTGGTGCAAAGGACGTGAACGACCAGAACCCTTGGGTTTGTTTTCGGATTTTGTCTGAGGAGGATACGGGCAAGTCTTCAAGAACATGGTCTGCGCACCTGGCATTGCGAAGAGCACTGCGAGAAATGTCTGACTCAACTTGTCCCGGACCCAACTGAGCCTTAAGGCGGCGTGGCCGGCAACACACCTGGCGTTCAAACAACGGCTTCGAAGCCGCGAGGTCCATCATGAGCTAACTGCCCTGTGAGATGAATTTTCGGCCAGAATCAAAACCAGGGCAAGTGAAGGTTGGCGGGGTCAAGCTGTTTCGCTCTTAGGTTGCCTCATTTGGCTCCCTCAAAGGCCCCAAGATCCCAGGATCAAGCACAGACGCAGGAACACTGGATCAAACCCTTGGTTGATTTTGAACAGCTGCCCTTTTAGAGCGTAGCCCGTCAAGAATTTGCTTCCTGCTTCGAGCTTTTACACATGATGAGGCCAGGGTAGTTTTTTTTTGGGGTGTCCAGTGTCCATTGGTTTCTTTTGGAAGAAAGAAGCTCAATGGCCATGTCCAAAGTTTGGATCATCCATTTGCTTAAGAACATTTTCAAGTTCCCCTTGCTGGTGTTTAGAGGGGAAGCTATCACTACAAGACATTTTTCTCATTTTTCCAGGGGGCTTCTCAGCAGATGGAAGGGATGGGGCTACCTGACGCTGAGGTAGGGACAATGATGCTCGGGCTCGTTGCCACGGAGCAGAGGGAGGATGCCTGGTTCGCACTGAAGGCAGGCCATGAGCGAAGCGCGCAATGAAGGTGGTCCCTTTTGGGCTTCCCTTCAAACACCAGGGGTACATTGCTAAGCAGCTAAGCTATGTAAATTGTTCAAGTTTCACAAGTTGCAGATGTTTGGACTGAGCCGTGCTCATGTTGCCAAACTGACCCCCAGCATCCCATAGCCTCTTAGTTCCCTTGAGCATTTTGCAATCAGGGTGCCCTCAAAAGAAGACACCCCAAAACTTGCTTCAGAACGAGCTGCCCGACATCTTCTGGGACTACCGCGACAAGTGCCCCTTCACTCGCGCGAGTGGCTGAAAGGCAAGTTCGGGTTCGGTGTTTTTCTTGCAAAGCAGGGGGGTTTCTTGCATTTGTTTTTGATCCGCGCCGGCCGACCGCGATCACGCAGGTCCTTTGTTGGTTAGTTGTTTTTTTCTTGGCAGAACAGAACATAGGGGGGGGGGGATCTCGTGGCACGGGTGGGCAGGGGCAACTCGTCGCAGTGCGCCAGGCCCCTTCCGAGTCAGGTCGGTCAGGTGCTCGAGAAGCCCCCTCTCTTCAACAGAAATGGCTGTGGGAGAACAGGGCTCCTTAAAAGACACATTTTGCCCATTTGAAACATGTTGCTTGTTCAACACCAAAATAAAGGGAAACCACCATATACAAGGCAATGTTCAGGTGTAATATGTAAGGATCCCTGGAAAAATGGAAACCAAAATGGAACCCCGGCAAATAGAACCAAAGACTAAGACCTGCGTAGCCCGATTTATTTCATTTTGAGCCACACCCAAATGTTGAACCGAGTGGGGGAGCTCCATGAAACAGCGGCTGTGATGTTCCAAGTGGGTGAGCTGCAGGTACGTTCCCAAGCCGCGGACTTTCTTTGGCAGGAAGAAGGCCCTCAAGAAGTCCCGCACCTATCCTGACGAGGAGTGTGGCTTAAGGTCGCTTCGGTCCGTTGCCGGACCCCGTCGAGATGTTTGAAGCCGTCACCACGAGGGACGGGTCACAGGGGTTATTCCCTCATGCCTTGCTGAGAACCAGGGGCCGGGAAGAGGACCTGGCAGGTCCGCTTTCAGCTAAGAATCTCAGAATAGGAAGCCCATGTGACGGCAATTCGTGGGAGGATGTGCCGTACACGGATGAGGAGTTGGAAGAGGAAGAGGCCGTCCGATGACGCTGCATGTCATGGCCATGGGGTATAACCTATGGCTCCATTTTGTGGGGTGGATGATGATCCGTTTGCCACCTTTTTTATGTTCACCAGGGGTACAGGGGTTTGACCCACGGCCAATATGTTGAAATCTTGTCTTCCCCTAAACGGGCGGATTTTTTTGGATTGCTTCCCTGAAGCCCTGTGGGGGATCTCAAAGCTAAGGAGCCCTTGAGGCGGAAAACCACCTCCCAGAAGGGGACTCGTATTTTGATTTCACACCTATCCATGGTTCCCATCCGGTGAT